ACTTGTATTTATTTTTTGAACGTACTTAATGTTAAAAGTAAGAATCACATTGGAAATTGAATTGGTGATGAAATACATTGAGTATTAAAGTTAGAAGTTACAAAGAAATACAAGGCTGGGCACATCTATGACCCTAAGATTGATTGTGCTGATTTGTACATATTTTCAGTGTGGCTGTTTATGAAGAGTGTAACTTGGCATTGGCAAAAATGAGAGGGGTTTTGGGACAACTCCACAATCTACTCCAATCACAGTCACCACACTGGAACATACAAGAAGGAAACAGCAAATTTTGTTTTAAATGGCATTTTATGAATCAGCAAAATTATATGCAATGTTTACCATATTACTCTGTCCAATTGTTATAAATTTTTATTTACATAAATGCAAATATTTGTTGTTCAGTCAAATGGCCACACAAAATATCAATAGTTGATTCAATTGAGTCAATTTTTTCTCAAATACCACAATCTACCGGGATGTCCGAGTAGGTGTGAGAAATCTCTCTGCTGGTAAGTTTTACTTAAATAATAACACAATTTTGCCTTAAGTGATTTATTCTGGAAATATAATACAACAGTGATGCGTATACCCCCTAATTATGTTTCTATTACTTACTGTGTGTTTTTTCTTCAATTATGTGTACCTTTTGATTCTCCAAAATATTTGATCAACTGGCACACTCCTAGTGCCATAGGTGTCGGTTAATAAAAAGGAGTACTGTACATTACAAATTAAACCCCCAGAAAGCTCACTAAACTCTTGGTGGCCAGGAAACAGTACTATCCTAGGCCACAGCAATGTTAAGTTTGGAGACATTTTGGAAAACGAGCAAATGCAGCACAAATTGTACCTTTACCAATTTTTCTCCCTCCGAACACCAAAATGAAAAGAAAAAAAAAAGCACACAAATATCAAATAGGCACAGCATCTGGAATTCACCAGTATATCACTGCAGTTCACTTCCAGGATTGGCTTTGCTTAATAGGAGAAATCCTGCTAGAAAGGTTAATTAGCTACAGCACATATAAACATTTAACATTTAGAGAAAGTTTTTTTACTTGCATAGTTACAGAAGCCAAGACCCTTTACAAAGAACAAAATAAAACTTTAAGACTAAATGCAGAAAGATTATGTTTGTATATACTGTACAGTGAAAGAGGGATCAAATGTTAGGATTCTGGGATGGTGAAGAGAAACAAGTCGTCTTATGTGTTCAGCATCTCAGAGAGCGTCTCCTAATAAAATCTAGTGTTTGTTTTCACAATAATCCTGGTTCAATACTATGGGCTAGAGTATGAAGGCAGGTACTTGGCACCTGTGAATCAAATAGCTGAGTTGGTCAGACCCATCAGCCTTAATTGCCAGTCCACCTGGGAAAAGGTAACTCTGATTTCAAAGCCCTAGCTAGGGGCTAATTATCTATGTATACACATCGGCTGACAATGCAGAAGATCACAAATTGTGCCAACAGGCTAGATGGTAATCTTAAGAGCAAATGAGACTCTTCATCCTGCTTGGCAACTCATCTAAGGTAAAGACAGCTCCAAAATCAAATTTGCATCCTTTCAACTGCTATGCTTGCAGCATGCATCACACCCATGCAGTATTTAGAGATAGTAAGAACTGCCGATGCTGGAGTCTGAGATAACAGTGTGGAGCTGGAGGAACACAGCAGGCCAGGCAGCATCAGAGGAGCAGGAAAGCTGATGTTTCGGGTCAGGACCTTTCTGCCTGCTGTGATCCTCCAGCTCCACACTGTGTTATCCCATGCAGCATTTGTTGTCTTGGAGGAGTTGGAGGCTCTATGCAAACTGAACCACTTAAATATAAATCAACGTACAGGCTGTTCAGCAAGTCATCAAGCAAAACAAGTATACCATAGATTCATACAGCAGAAAAGGCCCATCGAGTCTGCACCAACATAACTACCACTAAACATGTGCTAATCCCGATTTCCTGCACTTCTCCCATATCCTTGAACGTTATGATAGTTGGATAAGTACTTTAAACTTTTTTAAAGGTTGTGAAATTTCCAGCTTCTACTACCTTCACAGGCAGTACATTCCAGGTACCAAGTCCAGTAGCGATGAATACAGCTAAAAGGATGCTACTGGCAGTCTTCAGTCATACAACTGTGCACAGGCAACCTTCAAGGGAGCAGGGCAGATGTCAAGTTTAGGTCCTCCAATGGCAGCAGACTGGATTTTGTTTTGGGACAACACTTCTTCCCCAGTCCAGAAGAGAGGAAGAAAGGGGGACTAAACACAGCCCAGCTCTCCGTGCACCTGCCAGGTCATTGCTCCCCGATGGTTACTCATTCACCACTGAAATGTAAAGAACAAAGACTACAAATCATTGTATAAAGCTCTGATCATGGAATGTCACTATACTTCTCGAAAACAATACAAAACTATAGAGTTGAACAACCTCAGTCAGAATGCTGGGCAGATACAACATTGACATAGCAGGCTAAAGTGAGACAGTCCTTGTGGACTCTCCACTTGGAGGAGACTGGTGCAAGGGAAACATTCGACTGGATTGACAAACCGAAGGATTAAGGTAAGCGGCAAGCCAGGAAATTGGGGAAGTTTTAAAAGCCAAAAGGTGACCAAAGAATAATAATGAAGAAAGAAAAAAAAACAATGAGGATAAACTAGCCAGTAATATTAAAACAGACAGTAAAAGCATCTTTAATTGGATAAAAAGAGAGGCCAAACTGAACTTTTGTCCCTGAGGGAATGAGGCTGGAAAAATAATAATGGGAAACCAGGAAATGGCAGAGAAATTGAATAAATACTTGGTATCATCTTCACAGTAGAGGACATTAAGAGCATTCCAAAAATATGAAGTAAACAAGGAGATAAGTGTGGAGGAAATAAACACAAAATCTATCACTGGAGAAAAAGTACTAGAGAAACTAATGGACAAAGTTTGATTTGACAAAAGTGACAAATAATAAACAAGCTACTAAAGAAAGTGTGCATGTCCACAGATGTTAAATATCTGACCAAAAAAAATCACCAGAACGCTAGATACCATCAGATAAAACACATGCTACATGCCAAACTAAGACAGATAGCAAATCAATGGTTGCCAAAAAAAAACTGATGAAGTGAGGCCATATGCTCTTTAGAAAGATCTATGATCAGTCTATATCCCCCAAACAAACAGTCTGACGCCCACCCTGTCAGCTGCCAAGCAACGCCTAACATACAAGGATGAGATTATCTTTGGTTATTTAGAGCACTTTAGCAATCTTTTAAACCAACAGTCCAATGATACTATTGAGTCACTTCCACACCACAATGCTCTGGAACAGCTTGGTCTAGATCCTTCTCACATGGAAGTCATGAATTGGGAGCAGTTTAGAATTCAGCAAAGAAGGACCAAGGGATTGATTGAGAAGGGGAAAATATGAGTATGAAAATAAGCTTGCAGGGAACAAAGACTGACGCTAAGAGTTTCTATAGGCATGTGAAGAGAAAGAGGTTGATAAAGACAAATATAGGTTCCCTACAGACAAACATTGGGGGTGTATTATAGGGGACAAAGAAATGGCTGAGGAACTGAATACATACTTTGGTTCTTTCTTCGCAAAAGAGGACGCAGATGAGATACCAGAATTTTGGAGGATGCAAAATTTAGAAAGAGGGATGAACTGAGGGAGACCAATATTAAGGAAGAAACGGTGCTGGGAAAATTGTTGGGATTGAAGGCCGATAAGTCCTCAGGGCCTGATAATCTACATCCCAGAATACTTAAGGAAGAAGCTCTAGAAATAGTGGATGCATTGGTGGTCATCGTCTAGGATTCTACAGACTCTGTTACTGTCCCTGCAGATTGGAGGGTGGCTAATGTCACTCCAACATTCAAAAAAGGGAGGTAGAGAGGAAACAGGGAATTATAGACTGATGAGACTAACATCAGTAGTGGGGAAAATTCTCGAATCCATTATCAATGATTTTATAGCCGAGCATTTAGAAAGCAGTGGCAGGATCAGACACAGTCAGCATGCATTTTTGAAGGTGAAATCATGCTTGACGAATCTGTTGGAATTCTATGAAGATACAACTAGTAGAGTTGACAAGGGGAAGCCAGTCGATGTAGTATAGTTGGACTTGCAGAAAGCATTTGACAAAGTCCCACATAAAAGAGATTAATGTGCAAGATTTAAGTGCATGGGATTGGGGAAATGTATCGAGATGGATAGGAAACTGGTTGGCAGAGAGGAAACAAAGAGTAAGAATTAATAGGTTATTGTCAAATTGGCTGGCAGTAACTAGTGGGGTGCAACAGGGATCGGTGCTGGGACCCCAGCTATTCACAATATATAGTAATGATTTGGATGTGGAAACAAAATGTAACATCTCCAAGTTTGCAGATGATACCAAGTTGGGTGGGAGGGTGAGCTGTGA